TCTCTCTCTCTCTCTCTCTCTCTCTCTCTCTCTCTCTCTCTCTCTCTCTCTCTCTCTCTCTCTCTCTCTCTCTCTCTCTCTCTCTCTCGTGCGCTGTCCACGCACCTGCTGCCACACACGGGCGCAATGCTCTCTCTCTCACACACACACACTCAAACCCAACTAGCATTCCAATGCATGCCCGATCGTGAGCATGCGGCGCAGTCAATGTGTTCTTAAAAAAATAATTTAAAAAAAAACGAAGGTCATGCTACAGCCCCGTCCTGGGGTCTAGTCCCACCTACAGCGTTGAGAAAGAGCTTTCTATCACATGTGGCATGGTGGGACGGAGCTCTGCCGTTGACGTATTCGATCTAATATGGTGCCGAAATACAGGAGAATAACCTATTAGATTTTGTCTTTTTGTAGAATTTTTCTTTGACGTTTTGTAGTATGCTTTGGCCCTTTTGGTTTGGGTGGGAAACCATTTTCCGTTGAGAAAACTACCCTACCGAGGGTAGGGTACATTTCTCAACCGCAGTGCCTTTCCTTTTTTTCGGTTTTTTAGACATCATTACATCCTGAAACGGAGGAACTCTGACAGCTGCCTTTGGCTCTCTGGCATGAGCCTCGTTTCCTTCTTTGGGCAATGAATGCATTTGGCCATCCACCTTGTCCCTGTCCATTTTACAAATGGTGACCTCCTGTCCCCTCACCACCGGGAAGTATCCCCTTTTCACGGAGACATTCACTCCGCCTGTTCCAGACATGTTTCATTGACTGTTCGAGACATGTTTCATTTCTCCAAGTTACCTTATAAAGAATCAAGAGAAAAGCTTTTTCTAACGTTTTTTTTCAGTTATTTAATTTCTTGTTTCAAATTTATTAATGTAAAAATGGCGTCACACCGTTGAGTTTTCTAAACTCAAAAACGGTAGGTGGGACTAGACCCCTGGTAGCGATTGACGGTGTTCTATTTGTGATATTATTACTAATATTTACTATACATTTTCTCTTTCTTTTTTTCCCCTTGCCTTAGGAAAGTTGCGCCCTAAAATTTGTTCTACAAGGTAGGTACCTTGTATTCGAATATACACGGTACGTACCTTGTTTTCGGGTTAAGACGGTAGTGTGAGTATGCCCTCACACTAGCACGTAAAATCGCAAAATCGCAAAATTTGTTCAACTTCCAGGATCACAGGTTCACCGTATTTTGTGAATTCACCTATATCTCGGTATGTATACGTCAGCAGCCTGTAGGACTGCGGGCATCAGTATTTTGCGAGCACATCTTTTTTTTTTTTTTTTTTTTTTTTTTTTTTTTTT